TGTAGAGCGAACAATGCAAGATTACTTGATTAATAGAGTCCTCGACATTGACTGTAGGACACATGCTGGAATTGGACAAATTGAAACGAGACAAATAAGCCCTCATGCCAGCATGACCAAGTCGCAGACGAGCCACAGAACATTCCATGGAGCGTGGTAAAGATCCATAAGCCACATAATCCACTGCTGCTCCCAGGCCCAGCCTGAAGGTTCCTTTTCCTGAGGCCTGCACTTCTTGTGACCACCAGGATGCCCAATGTTCCAAAAATTTGGATTTCAACATGCGTAGCCACTCCTCAATGCACAAAGTGGATCTTGCAGAGCGATCATTTGAGTGTGAAAGATTGGCAATTCTGTCAGCAATTTCATTGCCAAGAATCTTATTGTGACCACGGATCCAGCACATCACCACTCTATCAAGCCTCTTAGTTTGCATCAATTTCTGAATTTGAAAAACAATCCACCTGTAAGAGCCAACATGAGTGGAAGAGATCAGCTGCAGTGCTGTTCGAGAATCAGATAAGATCAGAACTGGCTTATTCTGTAGAGACATGTCCATGATGGCTAGCTGCACAGCCTTGTATATAGCAAAAAGTTCAGCACCCAGTATCATCGTGGTTAGCACAGCCCTAACTTCAGCTTCCACTTCTGGCGAATTAGAAGCTTATGTTTCCTGGTATATATGATTTATTGTACTTAGTGATATAATATCAAATGGAAATGTGATAATGTATTGATATAATATAAAGAAATAATATATTGTTCTCCGAAACCAATAATATATACTATGTGCGTACCAAAACCACAAAGTGAACAAAATAGAAATATAAAACGCTGGAATATATACCACAATTTTTAGGATTATTTGTGGTGGAACTTGTGCATGATTTTACGCAAGGGAATGCGCAGTTGTGATGTATGGGAAAAACACGCGTGTATTATACCATTATCTTGCGTTTCATGAGTATTCCTTCTTTGAATTAATTTTACGTTGCGAATCGTTTTCTTTATTTATTTATTCGGTTTATTGCCATTTAAGTTTAGAATTTACGAATGATGGAAATACATCGGCGTGCGTTGTTAGATTATTGGTGTAGTTAGGCAGAAAATGTTCTATAATACAAGTTTGATTGAAGACCATATAGTACGTATATCTTATTGATGATTTTCTTTTTTTTTTTAACTATTTGATGAATCGGCTCCTTGTGGGATTTGAAAGTTCATAAATAAGTTTTCCGTGAGACATTATAGTCGACTTTATGACGTTTCGAATGTGCAATATTCATCATCGAGTAGGTGAAGAGTTATTTCCAACGCTTAAAATTGAAATTTGAATATGACATAAGTACATATACGAATGATATCTAAGATACGGTTCAAAATAGAGACTTTAATCCTTCCGTGACGCTTTACGTCCTGACGAATCCCGCGGTTTGCAAATTGATAGCAGGAGACTCGTCCTTGATAATGAGAGCCTCCGCTATATCAACAGTCTCGTTGTGTCGGGGCAGCGCATGATGATGCTGGTGCAGGCCTCCAACGTGGCACGGGTGATGGTCTCGTTGTGAGCCTCCCGCATATGATTCTTTGGCCCACAACCGATGGCAGGCGAGTATGCGGTTTGAAGATGGCTCAAGTTCGTGTTGGTCGAACCGATGTTATTTGCATTTTACTGAAGTTGACACCTTTCTTTCAAGCATAAAAATTTGTAAATAGCATTGATTTCTTGAAGCGGTGTGAAGTTTTTACATGGATTATTTCACATCTTTCTGTAATAAAATGATTTAATTGACGACTATAAGTGATCTAAACCCAAAGAGGGCTTAAGTAGTTTGAGTGTCCCGGTAATCCAAACAATAGTTCTATTTTCATTTCGAGGAACGAAAATGAATATACAATCGAATGAATCCATAATAAACAATATAAGGCTCAGAGGGCTGCACGGCAATGAAACAATGTACGGTTACGCGCATATTTATTGGCAACTTTCAACTCTAAATTTAAATATTGCACCTATGTCCATGATACTGATGAAATATTGGTGTGCTTGGATTAAAATGCTAGCCTGTAATCGTGCAAACTAATTTCTTACCTTATAAATATATTACTCATTTAATATTTTCAGGTATATCTTATTTTGTAAATTGATTGTTATTTTCCTCGTGCAAAATTAATGGCAACCTTTACATAAAATCAATTTAACTCATCATTATTGATCAAGAATATTTTAGGTTGATCTGAGGATGACTCTACAACATTCCAAAAACACCATGTGCCTATACTATAAACCTATACGCAAAGTTTGCGCTAAGTAAGTTTGCGCAAATTATAAACCTATACGCAAAGTGTCGTAATCGAAAATTAACCGAAAGAGATGTGCGTTCCTGCATGAAAATAGTAAATAAAGACCCGAAGATCACTTCCAAGGAATTGCAATCAAATCTGGCTAGTACTGGAAAAACTGTGGATGTGTCAACAGTGCGACGCTACCTGAACCGTGAGGGCCTTCACGGGCGTGTACCAAGAATGAAGACACTGTTGAAGACAATTCACAAAGAGAAGCGTTTGGAGTTCGCCAGGAAGCACATCGATGCTACTCAAGCAGAGCTCAATAATATATTGTGGTCGGACGAGACAAAGCTTAAACTTTTTGGTGTGAATGACAACCGTTTTGTATGGAGAAAATCTGGTGATGCTCTGCTGGAAAGAACACTCTACCTACTGTGAAGCATGGTGGTGGGTCCAGCATGTTGTGGGGATGCTTTGCTGCTGCAGGTACTGGGAATACTTCTGTGATAGAGGGCATCATGAATTCTGAACGATATCAACACATTTTAACTGATAATTTTAAGCAATCGGCAAGAAAACTGCATCTTGGACGGGCATTTGTCTTTCAACAGGATAACGACCCTAAGCACACAAGCAAATCAACACAGAAATATTTTGCTACACAGAAATTGAGTGTTGGAATGGCCTTCCCATGGCCCAGATTTAAACCCAAGTGAAAATTTACGGAGGGAACTCAAGAGGCGTGTTCATAAAAGAAGACCCAGCAACATCGAAGAATTGAAGACTTTTGCCATGGAAGAGTGGCACAAGATTCCTACTTAAACATGCCAACACCTCGTATAAACATACAAGAAGCGTCTGTCTGCTATCATTGCTGCCAAGGGAGGTCACACAAAGTATTAATTTAGAGTTGCCAACAATTTATATGCTTTTTTTTCAAAATGTTGCCATTACTTTTGCTTTTGGTGTTTTTCTAATAAATATAAGTACAACAAAGATCTAACGTTTTACTATCCGTTATGCACAGTAATTAGATGTTCTTTGACCAAATTAACTGAAAATAAATGCAGAAATTGCAATAAATGCTTCAAATTATATCATTTCTCAAATTAAATATTTTTAAGCGTGTTGTCAATATAAATATGCGCGTAACTGTAGGTTGGACATTATTTAGCCCCTCCGGCGCCGAGTCATTTGTCGAGGTGACGCTTTCATTTCTGTAGAAAATTTGCGGCATAATATCCTTTACTCAGGCTTTAAGGAATTTTTGCCTATGCAGGAGACAAGCCTCATTTAAAATATTCAGATAATATNTTGAAAGTTTTTTGAAAGCTAAGTTGACGTGAGAGCTAATCAGCTAATCTAAATCGCCGTTGAAATATAGATATTTGTAATCTTCCTACTTTCATGCCAGACCAAGTCGAATGCCACACTAGATCTGTCTCTTATACACATCTAGATGTGTATAAGAGACAGCCTCTTGCCTTTGCACAATCGTAACAAGCTCTTTACCTCAGATGCAGAAGTAGGAGATAGGAAGCATGATGCGTCACAGAACGGAACACCACAAGTCGTATTACCCTGCACCAGACCTAGATCTTTAGTTATGTCATTCGCGACGGAGATAAAATATTCATTAAATTCAATGGTTAGTTCAGAATCAGGCATTTACTTGTTATTTTTGTACAATTCAATGTTTTTGCGCACAAGATTCCTTGCAAAAAGAGAATTGACAGTATTCCATAAGGCCCTCGAGTCGTTAGAGTCTTGCTGGATTTTAGTCAAGTAGTATTGCTTTTTGACCATTTTCAACAGCACATTCAAGACATTCCGATAGATCGAGTAAGATCTACGACAAATTGCACCCGAACGGGAAAGCTTCAGGAGTTTATGCTTCTTCTTGATTAAAGATTTAATTTCAGTGGTAACCCAAGGAGGTCCACGTTTTTTAATCACGACAGACTTTATTGGAAAGGACGAGTTGAAAATTTTAAAAAGTTCATCCAAGCAAGATCTCATGGCAAGGTTAGGGTCATCAATATCAGTTATACACTTAAACTTAGCGTTCCTTAATTTGGCTGTAAGCCTTTGAAAAACTTTTAAAGTAATGCAATATCCTGCATCAAATATTTTGACAGTTAAAATCAATGACAATTAAAATCAGTTATGATTTTCGATCAATAGTTAGTTCAGTCTAAATTAAAAAAAATACCGAAGTTATAACCCAAATTAGCAAACAAAAGACTGAAAAAACAGAAAGAAAACTGGCAAAACATAATTTTTTTGAATTAATAGAGCAAAGTGGATAGAACTCGAAAAATATTTTGTTAGCACAATTACTGAACTGAGAATTAATCAAGTTACAACATGAGTCACCAAAATAAGATATCCTTGAACCTGTCATCTAATTATTTAATCCTCATCGATCTGAGCCAAGAACAAACATAAGAGGTAAGTAAAATTATGTGAGCTTCAGTACACAAAGACTTCGTCGATGAACCATTCTCATTATCGACCACACTGCGATTGCGTGGATGAATCGTTGAGACCGCAACAAAAGGGGAAGATGATTTTTCTTCGGTTTCTGAATGTAGTGGGAGCTACGGCACGAATCACGGGTTAGCAATCAGCACGATTGTGCATGTCTACTGAAATTAAGTATTCTCTTTCTTGTCTGTATTATGCAGGATGGCTTTGTCCTGCGGTCTGTCACTGAGTGAAGACAGCTTATATAGTTGTCTTAACCCAATACGTTAGTTGCTTGCAAAGCTTCGGGAAGACTGGGTTGTTCAGTGGACACAACTGATAATGTTTCTAAAGCTGCTCACTGATATTAACTTTCACTGACGGACGTAACATTTTCGATTTGACAAACGTTGCTGCATTAGGGTATATTTCATTTATTTTTAGGTATAATTCCTGGAAGTTTAACACTTGAATTGGTAAAAGCAGACGCTCATAGAATGTTGTACAAGTCCAAAATATCTCGTTCCTTCTTTTGGGTCTTGAAAATTTTTGGAGCTTTGCCGTTCAAGCCGAAAGTTCAGCCAGACTGTAAAGAATCTAGTCAAGATGAGTGCGAAATAAAGCTCCAGCAGAGCCGTGGCTGGCAAGCGTGGAGCGCAGTCTGGACGTTGATGATGGTGACCGTCATGGCGGTGGATGCGTACTACGCGGCAACAGATCCTCGCGGCAAGTTAGTCGGCTGCATGACGATGGTAATCGCTCACATGAACTGCGATATTACCACATCCGTGACCGTAATTCTTCTGCAGACGATCTTTTGGCGACAGAGTGACCAGCTGGCACAGATTTGGAATCATGTTAACTTACTCGGTAAAAGAGTCGCATGGAACAATGGTGTCACATTGGTTATGGTCACAATTATCATATGTTCTTCCGTTGCGAACGTTATTATTTATATAATTTGTTTGAAAGATTACACGCCTTCCTTGTCATTGGTCGCCGTTTGCACGAAAGTCATGATCATCGCCTTCTGGTTTGCCATCCTAGGAATCATCCATCATCATGGGATGCATATAACTGGCAGTTACTTGACGAACATCCTCCAACCCATCACTGATACTTTCAATCAAGAAATGGAAAATAGGAAGCTCAAGATAAATGGCATCACTTCTAAGGACGCTGAGAAGAATTTATGTACGGTTTCGAGCGAACGATCTTCAGATATTCCTAACATGAGCTCCATGGCATCGCAAAATATACCGAGAAAACTGCCATCTTTGTTACCTATTTCACCAAAAGATGGCTGGCTTGCTATGGACCCAGAGCACCTGAAGGATGGAGTGTTGGACGCGTATAGTCTGTTGGACGACATCAAAACTTACTGCGAGCGTCCCCTGGCGGTGGCCATGTATTGCCTTATTATTTGGCTGTTGACTTCGGCTTTCTACTTGACTTTATGGCCTGTCATGGGGTTTCAGCAAAGAATTCTCGGCTCATGTCACATGATAATTGCCGTGGTGTCTCTGTTATACCTGCTCAATTCGACCCACGGTCTCCGAAAACAAGTGAGTTCTTTTGCAAATATTCAACAAATGCTCAATATAGAACGTAAAAATTCAAATATAAGCATTTATTATCGTGAATTTTCACTTATATGTTGATTTTTGGTCATTTGGTGCAAGTGAAATAACTTGTATCATCTTTTTATAGAACATTTTAATAGAAGTTTTTCATTCTTAATAGCTGACCAACATGAAATGGATGTTCACCTACCTGGCCAATCACAACTCACAACATTACAAAAAACAACAGGTACGTATATTTCAGGTGATCTCAACTTACTTTGTTTGAAACATATATTGCTTTTCCCAATTTCAGTTATTCGAAGAATTTTATTGCATATCTCTCGCCGAACATACCTATTTTCAGAATGAAATCCAATCGAAATTATTCACTTTCCTCTCTTTCTCGCTAAAGAGTACATTCATTTGATTTTTAAGTGGACTGACTTTCGCGGGGTTTAGTATAACCAAACCAAGTGACGAACATCCGAAAATATTTTGAGGGAAATAACGGTAAAAAAAAGTAACTTTCCAATACGTGTTTGAAAGTTTTTTGAAAGCTAAGTTGACGTGAGAGCTAATCAGCTAATCTAAATCGCCGTTGAAATATAGATATTTGTAATCTTCCTACTTTCATGCCAGACCAAGTCGAATGCCACACTAGATCGGATCGAGTTTAGTCGATGAAATAGGCATCCTGTATGCACCATGACATTATATGTTGCATTAAAATAATATTATGTAACACATTTATATTACATCCAGAGAAAGTTTTCTCAAAAATACGATAGTACCCCCGTTAGAACCCATAACCCCTAACACAAACGCATGCATATTTTTTATTGAGATTTTTGCAGCATTACTATTCTGTCTATTGTCTGCATCTTAATAATAATAATAATAGCGGTTTCAGCGTTATTAGGCCGTAGGCCTGTCGCCGATTCTTAACATCGCAGAATATTCACAGCATTTTGCGGTCTCGAACTCGCAACTCGCTGCTACAATTCTGCTTTGCTTAACCGCCCGGCCTCCTCGCCGATTCTGACCAGAAACTGGCGCACAGAGCTGGGATCGAACCCGCGCCTCTCCCACCCGCCTTACTAAACGCCTTTTTTTTGCACCTTTCCTATATGTGCATCTTACTATTTGAATATATGCTATTGCAATACTTTATATTTGCATCTAAGTACGCGCCTATTTTTTCATCTTTCAGACACTTCTATTCTATTCTGTCTAGATCTACTATTCAGGCGTTTTTTCATTCAAAGTCGCGAAAGGAAATATTGATCAAAAAGAGGCTAGTAGAGAAAAGAAAAATGATGATTGGCGTATGAAAGTAGACGTAATTACCGAGCGTTGAAAGAATGAGAGTCCTGAAAGAGCAATGATTTGCACTATTTTTGGAGGATTTTTCCAGTAGTTTTATTTGTTTCTTGTAATGATTGTGTCCCTATTCATGTACACAATTATCCACTAAAATAAAGTTCCAGATCAATTTCCGATAATATCGTGAACTTCAAGCGAGGTTCACACAATCAGTGACATTATCGCCACTATATTATGTCAAGTCGCTCACATTTTAAGAGAAATATTATCTCTTAAATTTTAGAAAATTATCGATATTCTGTAGCCTACTATCATCAAGTAAAAATTTATCTAAATTCGATTTTTATGAGATATATCGGTTGACTCCAAAAGGTATTGTATTATTTATACCTAATCACGTGAAACCAGTCCTTGTAAATGAACATCAAATGATGAGGCAGTCAAGAAACAAGGATACAATGATGTTATCAGAGCAAACACAATAAAAAATGATTCCATCATATTTATCACGCGATCAAGCGAACATCATTAATGGACCAAACAACTTTTAATTGTTTAATTGCGGGTTACCGAAATATGACTGCTAACCGCTGCCATATTTTTTATGTACTTAGGTATAAAAGTATTAATCTAAGTACAAAAACCATACATAGAGAAACGGTCAAACTTTTATCAGTTTCCTACAGAAAGTAAAAGCATGGAAGCTGATGCGATGCTCTGCGTGTAATGCTATACCATGCATGCAATGCTGTATCATCAGTGTGATGCTATATCACGCTTGTAGTACTATAGCCAGCGCGTAATGCTATACCACGTGCATTTAATGTTTTACCACAAGTGCGATGCTACGGGTATATCATGCGTGTAGTCCTATACCATGCGTGTAGTATATGCGTGTAGTGCTATATGATGCGTGTAGTGCTATATCATGCGTGTAGTGCTATATCATGCGTGTAGTGCTATATCATGCTGTAGTGCTATATCATGCGTGTAGTGCTGTATCATGCGTTTAGTGCTATATCACGCGTGTAGTGATTTAACATACGTGTAGTGCTATACCATGCGTGAAGTGCTATATCATGCGTGTAGTGCTATATCATGCGTGTAGTGCTATATAAATGTGTTCGTTTCAATTAAAGTAAAGTAACAACAAAGGGGATGGGAATCAATATCTCTCAACTGCACGTGCAGAGTTTGCTGAAACGGCTCAGCAATCTTGACTTGATTATAGCCTGCGAAGAAAAAAGTTTAATTTGATTCGCAGAGAAGACAAAAAGTCCTGTGCTTTGTGCAAGACGAGCATGTTCATCATAATGAAATTCAGAAGATTAAACATCAATAAATTTGTCTATGATCGATTAAACATACGTTTTTTATGTTATTAAATTCTATTTACTGTTATAAGCTGATCTTGATGGACAAAAATCGCGATAAATAGTTCTTCGTGTGTCTATTTGTGATTGAAATTTAATTGAAAGTTAGTTATTTATATTGCTAAAACTAATCCCACTCGTTGAAAATTTTCTCGAAGAGAATGTAACGTTAGGCGAAATTTGCGAAAATTGTATGGATAAAGTTTGTATGACAGCAGCAAAAAGTTTTTGGGTCACGAATGCACTAGTCTTTCAGACCTCGAACGCACGGAGAGTCAGTCTCTCGGGTCACGAACGCATAACGAACGAAGAGACAGCAAGCTCTTGCTCCTGTTAATTTTAAGCATAAATTTAGTTATGGCTTATTTGTTTTAAGCCTTCATTAACTGAATTAGCCTAAAAATTAGGCAGTTTTGTGTAGGTTAAGCATGTTAGCACGAGGCAAATGATATTAGGAAACCTGAACTCATCATTGTGAAAGAAATGATAGCACGTTCACGTAACACGTTGTCTGCACGTATAACATGAATCAATTCTCTTTATGATTTCGAAGAACTAAAAGTCATAAGGAACCTTTAAACGGATTTACTTGAGGAATGAAGTAGATTTACTCAAGAAATGTTAATTATATGAAAAGGGATTTTTTGCGTAATTTTTTTATAGATCTGAGGAAGAAACGTGAGTGCTTTATTTAACAAATGCAAGAGAGTAAAGTAAATAACATAGATGATTAATTTCGGGAATGCAATAAATTTCTCCAAGGGTCGTAAATGATTTATGATTAACTGAACAGACTTGCGTAAGAAACCGGTATGATTTATTTAAAAGATGTACAGGTAGTAAGAACCGTAACTGGCTTATCCATGAAATAAAGTGACAATAATCGAAAGTTAATCGAACAGGAGACTTGATTAATCTTTAACAGATTAATCAAGTAAAAGATTATTCGAGCGACAGGATAATTAAGTAACATATTAATAAAGCAACAGATTAATCAAGCAACAAATTAATCAGGTAACATATTGATCTTGAACAGATTAGTCGAATTAATCTTCAATTAACCTAATTTGCTTCCCCCCAAAGCATCAATAATTAAATTCGTTGCTTTTAATTATAATAACTCGGCAAATAACGCTGGAACAACGTTTAATCAGCTTTGATTAAACCTAAAATGATTCTTTCAACGTTGCCTCAATGTCATTTGCCTGGTGGGTTATATATATGAACGACTTTTATTTTGGTCACTATAGGTGGCTAGTGGTTGAGAAGCAGCCAATGGAGCTATAAATAATAATTTTAGAAGGTTTCCATTCACAAGGGATAAATTATTTATTCTAAAATAGTTAATACTTCTTTATTTATTTACACAATTGTATGAGCTATTAAAATTACTAGATTGCTTAAATCGCAAGTTTATCAGGAATTTAAAAGCAAAGAAAACAGCCAAAATATTCACCATTTCTTAAGAATGAAAACGTTTCGGAGTTCAGCTCCATCGTCAGTTCAAAAGTTCAAAACCTATGAGAAAAGCAGAATCAATTATAAAACTAAATTCACATCGAAGATAAACTGTAAGAGCTAAATTGTGCCCACAGTTTAGGAATGAAAACGTTTCGGAGTCCAGCTCCGTCGTCAGTTCAAAAGTTCTAAACCTATAAGAAAATCAGAATCAATAATATAACTAAATTCACATCGAAGATAAATTGTAAGAGCTGTTGTTTCCACAGTTGCAGGAGGTACGGCAGCTGCTGAAGGAGTGTCCGGAGTTCGACGTCATGGGAGTCTTCGCGATGACTCGAGCTCGCCTTCTGGACGTTAGTAATCTTAATCAATAATTAAATAAATAAGTAATCATGTCTCTAAAAAGGAAGAATTAATTAATTATCATATAGTTATTATAATAATCTTCTTTCTAATTCTTTAAACGGTCGAAATTTACCATCTAATTATTATATTAATCTTCTTTCTAATTCTTTAAACGGTATATTTTGAAATTTTTCAGAGCGACAATTTTCCTACATTTTTAAAAGTGTATTATTTTCAAAATTTTTAAGCGCTGGCCTTAGTTATAATTCTATTTTTTTTGGTCGAGACGATATTGATTTAAAAATTGGTCTTTGAAAAGAAATCTGTGCAACGTATTTATATAGTGTTCAATGTTGATTTGATCTGATGCATTTAATTTTCTTGAATCGAACCTATTGAATTTTCCCATAAATAAAGTCGTATTTCAAAATAAAAAAAAAAACATTGATTACTTTAAAGTCACCGATTAACTTTCCACATATTAAATAGTGTATATAAAGAGAAACGTCCACCAATATAGCTTTAATTTGTTGCCTCAATTTAATTATTTAATTTAATTGTTGCCTGTCAAATCCATTCATTAAAGTACGCGAAATACTTGTATGAATTTTTTCTCTTTATTCAACAAAGCACAAACGGTATGCAAAACATGGTTTGCACATTGGAAAAACGGACGTCCAATCACACGCTCTCGGTCTGTTTTATAGGTTAATATTAAAAAAACAGAGTACATTTGTTAACATTGATGTGTTTTTCTCTGTCTTTCCGTCACAAATTTGTTATTTTTCAGATCTTCAGCTTCGTGGCGACCTACATCGTCATCTTGCTGCAGTTTCGACAATCTGAATTCAGCTCGAATTAAAAGTGAACTGAAAATTGTCTAAAATAAACATCATTCTGAAGAAATAAAATTAAAAATAATAAAATTGAATAAACGAATAAATTAAAATTTTAATTAATTTCCAAATTCTTTTTAGAAATTAAAATATTTTCTCCTCTAATTTTTTTACTTGTTGATCAGACTGAAATCTGAGTCACGTCATTACATTAGTGTGCAAGTTTATTGTAATACAAATCCCATATTAACACAGCCAGCCTATATATACTTCAGTCATCTCACATATTTAGCTCCTCCGCACCTATATTATATAACGTTTCCGTTGCTAACTCATTGAATTATCCATAACAAACAATATTCTGACTGTCCTTAATTTTCTTGAAAGATGCATAGTTAAAGTAATCCAACGAACTTAATTATATATCACGGTTATTGTTTTGAATAATTTTAATTATATTTATATGAGATATTTGAATGCTGGAGCCAGGTCCCGTGGATTTTTCGTCTTCTTAATGAAGCTGTATAAATGATGACATTAATGGAAGTCTTTACCGTCGTTTAACTGATGTCGTCCTGCAATAAAATCCATAGAAGTCACCAAAAATGTTCCCAAGAAGTTATTTACTATTTCCAATAGTATATGCATGCCAACTGACGATAAGCGGGTACGTAGGCAACAACGCTGGCCCAGCTTTACGAATCATGGTCAATGCATTATTGTCCAATAATATTGTATTGTCAATGCATTATTGTCCAATAATATTGTATTGTCAATGCATTATTGTTAAGCGTCCAATTAGTATGAGTTTTATTGCGCAGTAACAGTATATGTCTCGTTATTTTAGGATTTATTTCGATATTTGTCCTCAAGTTATGTATTCATATTTAAAAACACCAAAAATCGAAAACAATAAGCTTAAAAACAAGAAAATGGATCAATGTAATCTGTTACTCAAATGCTGGTGATGTGTGAACAAGGAAACAATATAATTATTATTTTCCATATTCTAATCGCTAAAAAATATCATCAAATATGTTTCGATATAAACTGGGCATTTAGAAATTCATGACACCTCAATGATATTTCTATATAAAAATAAATAACCCACCTTAACCTTAACTGCTTACCCCCACCTGACCAGCATTAGCATTGGGGCATTATGGCAAATGGGCATTAACTGCCCATTTCGGTTATCATATAATGCAATTTCAGCCCAAAGGGCAATTGTCTCCCAAGAAAGGTTTAAAATTCGCGGTCAAATACAATAAGAGGCTGAATCGCTTCAGATATTCCTCCTAGCAAAGTGTACGTGGAGAGCCTCCGTCCTCCCTAAACGGAATCCAAAGATTCAGACTAGATAGAAACACGTTAGCTTCCCTACTGCGGCAATTTATGACCGGAAAATTAGGACTCCTTGTTTTAACGAGCGATAGAAGCCATATTTAAAATATATGTTGCTACGATTGCTGTAAATTCTCGTAAGGTCAATACTGTTTGAAGTAGTTTCTGTAAATGATACTTCACAATCCTCTACAACACTTATTTATTTCATGGAAAAGTTGTACTGGAATTTGAATATTCTCATTAAATCCGAATATTGTGTGATCTGTTAACCATATATTTTGATTAGTACGTCAATTACGCATATTCCGTAAAATTTTCTGTTATTTCTCACGCATTTTGTATCTGTTTAGTTATCTACTGCTAGCGTAAATCTAGAAAGCCCTTAAAATGGGCGAATATGTTTGAAACGAATTGAAAACAATATGAATAATTACTGAAATGTTTGCAGGAATTTACGAATGTATGATGGATAACTGATTGAGAATTAAGGAAATTATTTAAAAATGCAAAATGTATGCTGACAATTTTTTAATGTGTGTTGAGTATAATGAAATTGGATGCTAGGCAAATTATAATGATGAATGCTTGGTAAATGGATAATCGGTGCTCGGTTGATGTTTAATGGATACGCGGAGAATTCGTGATGGAGGTCCAGTAGATATGCAATAACGGTTGATAAATTAATTGAAAATCTATTGAAATAAATGAAAAATGATTGGGAATGTATTGAAAAAGTAAAAAAAAAACTTTTATTCAGATGTGTTAAAGAACTATGGAACACATGCTTGAAAAAAGTATATAAATTCTAGAAAATCTAGTGGTAGTATAATAAGTAGAAAGTAGTCATTAAAAATGTATGAAAGTGTTAGAAATATATGTTGAAAACATGCAAAAAAATGTCTTGGATAAAATAAATGAAAGATCTACAGAGTATTAAGGTTAAATGATTGGAGGAGTGCAGAGGGCTAGTAACGAAATATATTGATACCTCTCAGAAATGCATTAAAAATTATTAAGAAATGTATTAAACATTTTAGGAAAAATGCTCTCTTTTTTCCAATGAAATTGTGATGAAATCTGCTTCTTGGATATTAAAAATAGGTCAGTTTTATCAAACATACAAAAATCAATCAAACGCACATAAACGCATTAGAAGTTCAAAATTTGAAGCTTAATGAACGCATTAGAAGTTCAATTTAGAAGTTCAAAATTTCAAATGCAATTTTTTTAGTACAAAAACAGGCATTGTTGTCAAAAATCGCATGTTTCCATTCCTAGCAATGAATTCGTAATAAAGAGCTTGCTGAGACCTGAAAATGGACGCCTTAAGCAGAAGCTTCAGGCAGCGCCACGCTCACCAGGAAAATATGATTTATAATTGCAATATTAGCAGCACTCCTGTGAAAATCCTGCACGCGAGATGATCTATAACCAACCATGTTTCCTTGTATATCAATATCCTCTCTACTGTTACACTTCATTGTGAAGTTTACGAGGAAATTTGGCACATTACTGGATTTTAGTTGAGGAAAAGTTTTGAAAATCAGAGTGATTGAATAAGGAGTTTTGTCATCGATATTTGTTTCGTGGTAAATATCGTGGATACAGGATTCAAGGAGCCATCTGGATTATTTCACTGAGTTCCTGCGGTTGTGAATTAAGATTAATAATTTGCGAATAAAAAAATGATATTATATCATATTTTCATTTGCCGCCGAAAAAAGTTTTCTCATTATTGCTGCTATATAGGCATTGACAACGAGCTTGATAACTTCACTTCTTGAGGAGTTTCAACGAAAAGAAACTAGAAACTGGAGATGCTACTTTTCATGGTTTGTAGAAAATAAGAAATAAGGCTTGAAAATATTTAGCTTCGTGATATATTTCGCTAATAATTTGCGAGAACGTAATGAAGTGCAAGATTACAGTGACGTCAACAAAAACGCCCTGTGCATTATTTATATTTACTTTCCAGTCTTGGTAAATAGACAAGAATCAAACGTCGCAAAAATATTTCACGTTGGTTTGAATTTGATAGTGTCCTTGTTGGCTTCGTTAAAACTCCGACTATTTTCGAACAACTGCATGAATACGAGAACAGACGAGAATAAAGAATAAGGCGAGATGTACGATAAAGTGTAGTTTGTTGATGAAATCTTCATAAGCGTGAGATGCATACTAATGCAATATTATTTGCTTCGAACATTCGAGCATTCTGTTTCTTGATTTTGTATTCGAAAGAACATTAAGTGAAGAGATTAAGCAGTCTACAGAGCAAAACTTCTACACCATTGTCCAAGGTAGTTGAAATTATGGTTTTTAGTTTAATTAACACGTGGTCCAACACAAACTTAGTAATAGGAGAGCCTCAAATCATCTCTCAAGTAGGAGAATTTATCGTAATGATGGGCCAAAACCAAACTCTTACAATAGGATTTTTTTCATGAAGAAAAACGATACGCTCCGATTTTTCTATCAATAGGATTGCATTCACAAATTGTGATAATAATCATTGTAATGGACTACAGGAATTCTCCGGATATAATGTCCACAATGCTTGGTAATTTGACAACAACTAATGTTGGTAGGTAGAGAACACGGACAAATACGTTAACGATTTCCAGAATACAATCGGTCGTGTAATTAACCGTGTATCTGAAGTAGTACCATGAATAGTCTAGTAATGCCAGAAGTATAAATTCTGCACAGAAGTGACTTTTCCAATCAACTGTATTTCAATTCAGGCCAGATATGATAGATGCCGTTGTGAATATACTAATAATGTAAGAAGTACAAATTCTGCGCATTAAATTCACATGAAAAAAACATGTTTATCATTCAATGTAAAACTCTACTTAAGCGTCGGTTTTATACGCTGAATTTTCCAGAAGTTTGAAATTACAGGAAGGTGTTTTAAGAAACTCTGCAGTGACTTTTCCCATCAGTGACTTCCATTGAAGCCAAATATGATTTGTCCTTGTAGGAGAACTCGAACTGTCATGATGGTCTCAACTGTCTTAGCTTTCATGTTCACGTCTTCCAGCGTTTTGTTCAGCAACTCGGTGCTGCAGGATATGAATTCTATTGAAACTTATGAGGAGAAAGCCATAGAAGAGACTCCCTTCGTCATCATCGTCTGCAATGGTGAGCTGTTGAAATTAATGTTTCTCGAAGTGCGATTAGCTCTGACATCCGTGGGACAATGATATATAGGCTCAAAATGTTAGATATGAACAATTGAACACACATTATGTGTGTGCGTTTGAAGCCTGGCGTCACTCGACATGTTGCCGCGTATCCGCGATACTTTTCGCGCCGGGTTGTTGAATGCCGAATATACTGTAAATGGTCCTGAAACATTTTCTCTATACGTACAAATATCGACGTTATTTCAACGCTGAAATAAGGTTGTTTTACGTCCCTTCTCGTGTTGATCCGATCGACGTTGATCCGATGATGACGTTTAATTTTGGTTGTTCAACATTTCAACCTGAAATCAACCAATAATCAATGTTGTTTCAACGTCAGATACCTGCTGGGATGGTACGTTTTAAAAAAATAGATTCATATGGATCAATAGTTATTAACAACAGTCACAGCGTCAGTCAATTTACCTTTTGTGGAGTTTATAGAAAACAATTATTTGGTTTGCGATCGACCATCTTGATTCACTGTCACC